CTTGTCTCCCCGAGCAACGTCCATGCAATGCACAAGCTCTACAAAAACCTCCCTGGACTGCCTAGAGACGCTCCCCGTCCAGATGTCATCCCACTCTACTTTCAAGAGAACCAACTCAATGTGACGCGCTTGATGACGTTGATGGCGGTTGATGACAAGGACAAGGTGCCACTGTACATGGAAGTCCTTTTCAAGGTGCTCCGTGATATGACAACGGAGAAAAAGGGCACAGGAGGCTTTGATTACCTTGATTTCAAAGCACGATTGTCGGGGAAGGGGTTCAATTCCACACAAAACGGACCGCTCAGACTGCGTCTCGAAGTGCTCGAATCTTTTCTTGCACACAAGGTCCAGACTGCGGAATCCGCTGCCCGATTGAGAGATATGTTCATGTCTGCTCCAGGGACACTCACTGTTGTCGATTTGAGTTGCCCTTTTGTCAACGAGAACGACGCATGTGCCCTATTCACAATCTGCCTTTCGATTTTCATGGAGAGTCGGGCAGATTGTGGTCGTGTCATTGCCCTCGATGAAGCTCACAAGGTAGGTAATCACCCCTTTGTTCCATGTCTACTAACCATGTTTTGCCCTTTGCAGTTCCTTACGAGGTCCGGTGAAGCTGAAAAGCTCACAGATGAGCTGACATCCATTGTTCGTCAACAGCGCCACCTTGCCTCACGCATCATTGTATCGACGCAGGAACCGACTCTCGCGCCCCGGCTTATTGATCTCTGCAATGTCTGTATTGTTCATCGGTTCAGTTCACCTGCGTGGTTTGAAATGCTCCGAGACCACCTTGCCGGTGCCAGCCGCCACAAGGGTTACAACAATGCACATTTGTTTGAGACGATAGTTGGGCTGCAGACTGGGGAAGCGCTGATATTCTGTCCTGCGGCTCTGTTTGATGTGTACAATGGTAATGTGCACACATTGAAAGACGCTTTCATCAGAGCCCGCATCAGAAATCGCGTGACTGCGGATGGTGGAAGAAGCATTTTAGCTTCCGACGAGATGCAATATAGTGGCGTTGGGGAAATGCTGACACAGGAGCTCATCCGACCGTTTGCGGCACAGATGGGGGGTTCAGGCCCACAGTCTGGCAAGCAGTTCGGCAGACATGCAGGCAAGCAGCCGGGCAAGCAGTTGAGCAAAGCAGAACGTCGCGCGGTCAAGGCGGGACGCGTGACGAAGAGCCAACCTGTCCCGTCTCAGTCTCAAAACTTGAGGAGAGGTCTGACACATGCGCAAGGACGTTATGAGCTTCGTTCAGCGCACGCACCGACTCAAGAGCCACGACTGGGAATTGTCCAGGGTTCGTCGGAGAGTTCAGCAGAGAGTCCAGTGTCCAGTGCCATCCTCGCTGGAGATGTAGGTGATGTCTTCGCTGGTGCTCCTGAATTTATTCCCTTGGATCCAAGAATTGACCCCAGCTCAATACCTAGTCGGGATATCCTCAGGGTTTATGTCAGTAATGCCGTGTCAGAATCACTCGGCAGGAATCCCAGAAAGATCGGATTCGCCGAGGTACGTCAAGCAGCAGCACGGAGTGCAGGCTTGCCTGAAGGATTCTTTGGAGGGCCGGAATGGAAAGCTTGGTCCAAAAGAGTGATTAATGAGATGCTGGTGAGTTGGGGCTCGTCTCGTTTGAAGATGAGATTCGGTCACTGACTTGGGCTGTCTAGGTGGAATATATTGAGGTTCGTGGGATGCCGCAACCAAAACGCCACTAGACTCTCTTGTCGAATTACTCGAACTTCGATTTCCGGATTTGCATGACGCTTGAAGCTCAGTATGGGTGAAGCAGGAAACGCTTTCGGAGAAGAAGTTGTGGATACATGGGCAGGGAGGGAAATGTCTATTTGCGCAAAACAGTCGGGAGTCGGGATCTGGCGCAGGAATGGAGCAGGATCCTGAAGAAACAAGAGTCCACCTTGGAATCTATTCTACACGTTCGGCGAGGTCGAACTGTCTATGGAGACGATCTTTACGGGGGGGATTCTCGCTATGGTGGCCTGATGCGTGAAGTACAGTACATGAATTGACAGCGCATGTATGTGGTTCACTTATGAATCTCAAACAAAGTCAGGATGGAGATTGAAGAACTTGAAATTCAGAAGATGGAGGGTGGTGACTGTAAGGAGTGCATGGTGGGGGCTTAGGAGAGTGAAGCGGCGAAGCTGGTTTGATTCAGGAGATGGTGATGAACAAGGCGGAAGACAGCATCACCAGGCATCATTCAATTTGTTTGTGACGTGTCTTGTTCCGCCTTGATTGCGTTTGTGAAACCCTCAAATCTTGTAATTAGCAGAATGATATCAGAAAAGCCGTGGATCCAGGTGTCCATGATGCCACGCGTCTGGCAGTAAAAAGGAGGCGGAGGAGGTTGAAGGGAGAGCGATATCACACTAATAATGTAAAGGGGTGGTAAGGTAGAGTGAAATTAAGAGGAAGGGGGGCTGGATTTAGGGACCTTTACTGAGTACCTTGTATGCCGAGCCGTTTTGGCAGTTTGGGTAATTTAGGTTGACGTTGACGGTTTGAAAGACGGGGTCACCTAGTCAAATGCAAAAACTTATACCTCGTAAGTTTGAAACAAATACGAGTGAGAACATCTACAGAGATTCATTCGGTTTAAGGGGCTGGGACGGAAAGGGGGGAGGTTGGTGGTTGGTGGACGAGGCGCGCGTATCGACAAATAAATTGTACCCAGTACCAAGTATATCTACAAGCGTACCGAAGACTTACCTAGGCTGTAATTATTATGTAGCGGAGGGACCGGGCCAGTGCGGGAAGACATGTTGACAGACAGACAAAGTAGTAGTAGTAGACGTAGGCGGGTAGACATGTAATTTCTCTGCGCCCTTGTATTATTATTATCTGTACCAAGGAACCAGGAACAGGGCCAGCCCAGCTCAGGGACCAGCACCCGGATCAGGCATCCAATCCAAGCCAAGTCAATCGAGTCTAGTACTAACGGGCACGATCGCAATCACAAGCAACAAGCACTTTCTGTGCTATGAGCCAAGGCTATCACGTGTGCCAAGCCCTTCTACAACTCCACATGGGATAGGCTCGAGGGCGATGCCGCCTTCTTTTTGAAGTTACACCCTATATTCTCTCACCACCGAAACTTCTATTATCACATACAGCGCCCGGAGCTTCCGCATGAGCTTGTAAAAGAAAGAAAAAAACCAAGAAAAACAAAAATCGCAGTGCTGCAGTGTCCTCAGGGACTTTGGACTTGCGTCTCCTCGGCCTCTCGGCCTCTAAACCGCGTCTTGTCGTGATATCACTTCCCACACCCTTGAGACTTGCCAACAGATGAATAACCCACTTAGGGTTAGGAGCAGATGGTCTTTGCTACGTCGACTTCTTGCCTCTATACAGAAGCAGAGTCCTCAACCCGTAGGTCTCATGGAAAGAGTTAGACATCCTTAAAATGTCTAAGAACTAATGAAGGGGTTCACAAAAGGCGACAGCCGTCACAGCCGACACAGAAGAGCAGCAAAACCATTATGACCACAATCCGCTCCTCGATCTTCCTAACGAGCTAGTCCTCACGGTTGCGAGCTTTCTGGACCAGGCGTCTCAGCTCCTGCTGAGCCTCGCGTGTCGACGACTTCGTGCTCTTCTCAACTCCCACCTCGACATGTCGCTTAGTGATGATAGGGCCACCAAGGTGCGGTTTCTACAACTTCTGGAACTCGACCACCCGGAATATCTGACATGCCGCTCCTGCGGCCTTCTGTATCTCTGGCGGAAGATGGGATTCCTCCCGTACGATTGTCCGCGTGCCAACCACCACCTGCTTGCGGATATACTAGTATCATGCGGTCAGTTCATCAAAGCAGGAAACAACAAATATGTCTGGGTGAGGCGTGGAGTGGTCGACCTAATCTTGCGAGCCTACGAGCATGGGCCCTCTCACGGCTTGCCTGTATCTTTCTTAAACATGAGCGGTTATGATCACCACGGCGTTTATCGAACGAGTGAGGCACGGTTAGTGGACGGTCAACTTATACTGGCCAGTCGAATGGAGGTGGAGGCAGAGTCGGGACTTGAAGTGGACGTGATGCGGCACCTCTCCCTCCCGAATATATGCCTACATCTATGTACCACTATAGGGGTCATAGACAAGGTATGGCAGACCTTCGAGCAAGCCGTCGCAAGCATGATAGTAGGCTCGGAGAAATCCGAAGTATTTAAGTGTCCCTTCTGCGAAACTGACCACCAAATGCAGGTGAAGAGGACCGCGGGGAATCGGGCAAGGATCGTTCTGAATGTTTGGAGAAACTACGGACGACGATACGAGAACAGGCTGTCGACTGAGCAGGTCTTTCATCGAGACCCAGCTTTACGGCTTGATGCCGATACAGTCTCGCAGAGGGATGTACGAGCGGCCTTTGAGTCTAAAACGGGGTGTATTCCAAGTATGGAGACATAGTCATACCTAGAAGTTATACAGTTTATCTACACTATCGATCAAATTGTGCCTTATGCCAGCCCGAAGTAATTTGTAGCCATTCTCGAGTTGTGCAACCGTCCGTCATGCCGGGGCTGCTACCATTACTGATATTCTCCATCAGCTATCTCTTTCCAGATAGACCAGCCCCTCGACCGTCACAAGCCCACAAAAATCCAGATCTTGGCTATGTACTTAGTCTCATTAAAACGTGTCCGTAAAGTACCCGAGGTCGAATGATGGAGAAAGGCGGCATAAGATTTTGGACTTGTGCGAGAAGAGCAGCGATTCTGTGGCAGGCCGAGGGAGAGCACGCGAGCCTGGTGAGTCAATGACTGTGCCATGTTCGGAGGGGTCAAACTTCCCTGGCTAGGATGAGGTGTCCTTGGTTGGGCTTGTCTTAGTTTCACTCGTTGAAGAGCTACTCGTCACCAGCACTGCATAGAAGTGCAAGCCCTTCGCTGGTGCGACCAGGTTGTTGAAACCATGGCCGCCGCTGGCAGCTCCCAGCGGTGAGTCTACACCACAGTTAGCGCGCTCACGTGATGGTGCTTGTGACTGTGTAGGTATCGGCGGGACGATCATTTGCCTCATTCCGCCTCCGTTCTATAGCATCGACGAGCTGTTGAAGCAACGTGTTCTGCCTTCGAAGTTCAGTGGTCAGCGCCTGATCGATACCAGCGGCCTGAAGACCTCCCTGCACGGCGTCACGCAGAGCATCATGTAGCAGGGCAATAGATTCAGCATCGAGACCAACCTGAGGCTCCCCATCCCGCTGATTAGGATGAGGGCCTTCTTCCTCGGGGAAGAGATAGCAGAGGACTGGACCGACAAGCCGAAAATGCCGAGCCCAGTTGACCAGCCTGGTGCCCATAGCTGGTCGAAAAGGGGAGAGAAGTGTGGCAATAATGCCGCCTGCTGGCCACAAGTGCTGAGAAGACATTGCTACGAGCTCAAAACGTAGACTTTGAAGAGAGGAAAAGAGAAGAATTGGTTAGGCAGGAGAAAGGTGATAGCCATCCCCTACACCCACACCTTCTAGCCCAATGGCTCCTTCCATCTCTTGAGGTAATGGCAAGTGCAAGCAGAGGTTCTGCAAGAATGTGTCGCCTTCCTCAAGGATGGTGGTACAGTTCGCAGTGCAGGTGCGAGAGTTAATTGACGGTCATTGCCAGTGGGAAGAATGATACCTAACTTGAATCCGTGAGATTGGACTGGAACACGAAGACTTCAGTCGAGTTGTGAAGAGACGGGGATGACGATAGATGCACATGAAGTCTTAGCCATCGAAATTAATCTTGGAAACCTCGGAACGACCACATCTCCTGGGTGCCTCCCTCAAGTCTCGAGAGGATCCGTGGGCTCTCGGGTATAACGCCGTAACTTCTCGCTTTGAGCAACGCCAATATCAAAATCCAGCGGATGACTACCGTTCATCACGCATATTCTTGTTCGAGTTTGCGATGACAAGAAAACGCGAAAACGCGTAATCGAATGGTTCGGGAGCTCGTTCACGAGACTCCTCTGTATAGACACTCCCCCGAGCGGTAGATGCCATTAGACTCGACCGGCATCGTCATATCAGAGATGACAGGAGACTTGGACACGACTGGAGACTGAAAGGCGCACGCGGCGTCTATATCCTTCTGTCATCCTTCCTCATGTAGTAATGAATGTGCTCTCTGTGCCCTGCCGCTCGGTCTTCTGTACAGATCACCCGGATTGTACAGGATCAAACAGATCAGTCACGTGGTCGTTACTTTGACCACGCATTTCCTGGAAGTCCCTTGCCGGGGATTGACTCGCCTCCAGCCCCGGCACTCCTTCCCTTCCAGTTAGGCCATAGCCAGGCCAAAAGGTCGGTTCGTAAGACGTTGGGGCGCCAGTAGGTTTGAGTAAAAAAAAAGGGCCTCTGGGCGCCAAAGAGGAACCCGAACAAGTGGTTTTCGGAACCTCTGTAGCCATGCTGGGGCTGGCCACAGATCTTTATGTACGCACACGAAAGTCAGGCAGCAGGCTTGGCTGAACGAATGAGGGCTAAGCTTGGTAGCTCCCCCATGCTCGGCCGGGCCTCCTCGATGCTCCGTCACGTGACCTATTAAAGCGGCCTCGCTCCCTTTCAACGAAAATGGAAAGGGATAAAGCACTGTTCGGGGCACATATGATATATATATTTTCTTTATTTGGTTTGGTATTCAAAAAAACAAAACACAAACGCTCATCTCCATTTTCCAGAAAAATGCCATGATTAAAATATTATGATGCGTACAACATGATCATAGAGCGCACAAGATTTTATGACGACTTGGGGTGCAGCTTGCCCTTCTTCTTGAGCTTGGTGTACACAATGCCGTTGCCGTCAGCGTACTCGGTCGGCACCTCTGGCCAGTCATCGACGCCATCGAGAAAAGCCACGGCCATGCCGCCAGCCATGTGTGTTTGAACGTGGCAGTGGAAAAGGAATGCGCCAGGGTTGGTGACTTGATAACGCAGGACCATCCACGTGCTGTTGACTTCGTTGGGGGTAGTAGTATACTAAAGCACACATGTCAGTTATTTCTCGGCAAAGTCAAAGGTCCAACGAAACTTACCCCATCGCGAAGAGGCGGGTTTTCAAAGTTGAACGTGCCAGCTGGCAGCACAGCGGCGGCCTCGGCCACAGTGTTCCATGTCCAGTTTCCGACACCCTTGCCGATAACGTACGCCTTGTTCGAGTGTTTATGCATGGGGTGAGGCTGAGCAAGGGGTCCCTGGGTCCTGATCACCAAGTCGACCCATTGGCCACTCTGTGTCTTGATAATGAGATCGTTGGCTTCGACATCGGCCGGGTCTTCAAACAGAAGGGGAGTCTGGTCTTCCAACTCGGGAGCAAACGAGTTGACACCGCTAAGAGTCCATTCATATGCGCCGGCTGGTTGCCCAATCTTCTTGATATTCATCAAGTAGGTCACGTCCGCTGACGGAGCTGGAGGCGAAGGTGGATAAGGCGCCGCCTTGTTGTCATTGAACGTCACTAGCGTGGTCAAATTTGCGCCGGCGAAGTTCATCGTGGCAAGAGCATTGGGGTCTTCAGTGGCAGGGCCAACTGAGCCCTTGTAATTGAGGACAGCGAAACCACTGAGGACTTGGTTCAGACCGTTGTTGGCGACGCGGATCGAGTACTGCGCAGGGGGTTGGTTGAGCTCGATCAGAACCGAGTATCGGTCTCCGTTGTTGACCACGACTTGATCCACCAGAGTGGGAGTCACGTAGCCGCCGTCCACAGCGTACACCCACATCTTGTGTCCGTCAATGGTGAACTTGAGCAACTCGTATCCACCCGGGTTGATAAAGGTCAAGGCAGCAAAGCCTTTGGCAGCGTCCACATCAATTGAAGCCATGGGTCCGGTCGAGGGAGTGCAGGTCGAGTAGGCATCAGCAGGAAGAGTCTCAATGTTGAAGGTGAAGTTACCCTGAGTGGCAGGGAGGTTGGGAGGCAAGCAACCTTTGTCGGTGAGTTGCGAAGGGCTGACCGAAGCCAGGAGAGCCGTGACCTTGGGATTGGTGTAGGCAGTCAACTCCTCACGCGTCAAGCAGTACTGCGACCCCTGCCCATTGATGATGATGGCGTCCGAGCAAGCAAAATCAATGTTGGCATTCCGTTCCTGCTCATGCAGTTCCTGAGAGGTATACTTGTTGTAGTCCGAGATAAAGATGGGCTGGAGCTCGTCGTCCGCAGCCGACATGAGCTTGATGAATTCCGGATCGCTGTTGATCAGAGAGAATGGCTTTTCATCGTCAGACTCTGGAGAAATGATGATGGCGCCGTACAGCCCATCCATCATCTGCGAGCGATAATGTGCGTGATAGAAGTATACTCCAGCTGCATCGGCGGTCCACTTGTACAGGTACGACGAGCCTGGCGCAATGGCGTATTGTGAAAGACCTGGGACACCATCTGACCAGGGAGTGCCTTGCTGCACAATGCCGTGAAAGTGGATTGTAGTAGGGTCGGGCAGTTCATTGTGAACCAGGAACTCGACTGTCTGGCCGACCGTCATCTTCAACGGGGGACCGGGGAAGGTGCCATTTGTGAGTATCATCTTCTTGGGCGTGCCCCCAATGGGTGAGTAGTCCTCCCATGTGAGGGTGACCTCGAAGTGGACGGTGTCGTCCCGTTCATGGAGTGACCGCGATCGCGAAGGGAGGGCGGTACTGAGTAAAGCGAATGACAGGAAGGAGAGCACGGCGATTAACCGTGGAAGTGCCATTGTGGCAACAAGAAAGAAAATATGAGAGGCGAGTAAAAGGAAAACGATTGAATAGACAACGAGAGGAAGGTCCCTGGTAGAAGGAACACGTTTTAGAAGGTAGTGAACAACAAGGATACAATCAGAAGCATTTGGACCAAAGGGCGAGGTTGGGAGGAGATATAATATACAGCGATGGGTCGATTCAATCCACTCTCCTAGCCAAGTCCATGGTCGGCCGCAGCTCTCCAGATAATCCTAGGGCTCGTGATAGCAAACCGGGGATTAACGACACCATGGATGGGCTGGAAGCAGTGACCAGCCTCGATGGTGAAGGTATGTTATTCTCTACATCCCATTAGCGTCTTAGCAGTGGCATTGATTCTGGGGCTGACCAGGGTACACAGGATACCTGCAGAACATTGGCACACCACCTGGACCCGCCATCCCAATTTTTGGCATCGCGTGGTCTGCTAGCATGTCAGTTGAAACGAAAGCGCCAGATCTAGACAAGCCTTGAAGATCACCGCCTCTGCAGCCAGTTGAGGCTGACACATGTTGGGTTTTTTTGACCAGTGTCTGTGGCGACGTGGAGGGGTTAACACACCGCGACTCGAGTCTGATATCTCGGCGTAATATGCGCCATGACTCGAGGGATTGAGACGAGTCATCTTGAAAAGCAAATCAGTCATCCTTTGACGGTAAGAGACAAGATGTCAATGGGTGACAGCTGATTTGACGTGCAGCAACAACAGTGAGCAGCGGCAGCAGCAAACAGTAGCAGCCAAGAGGACGGCTGAAGGTTGGCAGCTTTAGATGGAAGTGCGCAGGAGCGGAGAGTGGAGGCTAGTGAGGCTGAGGGTTTCCTCCCAAGCATCGCTAGGCCTCGAACGAACCAAAGTTTGCCATGGACGCCACGATAACTGGCCAGCCCATCTCACGCAGGCCTCTGCCAAGAATCGCCCGCCACTCTTGGAACCCGGGCCCTTGATGTCCGCGGCGATGGCTGGGACGTGTGTCATTTTATTCAGAGATTCAGAGTTCAGTCCTCAATTTCTCACAAGGGCGGGTCGAGTCTTGGCTCTAGGATGACCTGGGGCGGAGCGGTGTTTTGCCCTTCACGACAGTTGTAGAGTTCAACGCACATAGGCGGGCGTTTTGACACCTAGCTGACTGTGTTCCAGCTCTTGTCGCGGTCCTTGTATACGAGTCTCACACCCGAATCTTACTCTTGAGCGGCATATGGCTAGATCAAGTACGGCATAGGAAGGTCTTGGGTCTCGGCAGCAGCGAGAAGCTCTGAATCAGTGGGGGGGGGGACTCAAAGATGCGGTTGGGTTGAGGCGACCTTGGGTAAACAGGACGTGAACGGTCGAGCATTAGACGGCGCGAGCCAGTGGTGCCGAGACTGTTTCGGTGGGCTTTTGGAATCAGTTCTCGTTTCGGTTGTTGATCCTCTCATACAAGGGAAAATATTATGACAACATACCCAAATGGTAGAAGGTAAAAAGGTGGAATGATGCGAGAGCAGAGACCAAAAAGGGGAGCAGGAGGAACATGGCCCATGGTGGAATGAGGGTGGATTGGGTGGATGCCCATTTTTTCGCTGCCAAGCCATTGGTGCGAGATTTGGCTTCATTTGTCGCGCCGAGGCCGCAGTGGCCGCCGCCTGCGCCGCCTGGGAATAGCAACAAGGGCAAAATCTTTGCTTTGA